ACCCCTCTCATGGTGGGCCATCATGTCATATCACCAGCCCATCCCCCTGACACCATCCAGCTCCTCAGCCCACCCCAATAACACCCAAATTCAGACTGCACAGGAACCTTTGCTTGGTGCTGATGCACATCCCACTGGCACGAGGAGGGACAAGGTCTCCTCAGAGCACAGCAATGGGAATTCATCCCTTGTCATGATTTCTAAGTTTTCTTCTGCCCATTCCCTGGCTGCAGGCCTTGGACACACCAGTTATTGCTGTTTCCTGAAACAAGACGTTCCCTGACCTCCTTTTCCCTCATCACTAATTCACACCGAGCAGGTTTCAGCTCAGCTCATGCATGAACTCCACGCTGGCACCACTTAATGGCTAAAGAACGAATTCTGACAAAGCTCATTAAAAAAGAAAGCCACTGATGTCAGCAACATGCCTTAAATCTGACCCTCAGCTCCAGGCAGGTCTGCCAAGAAATCAAGTCATCCTGCTGGAAATATAAAGGGAGAGCAGAAAACTATCAGCACTATCAGGTTTGGAAGGAACCTCATTTGCTGTTACAGATGTGAAGGAAATCAAAGACACAGGTGAGTGACACCAACCAATTTGACTGTTCAAACAATTAAAACCCACCTTACAGATTTACAGTTGGGCTCTCAAGACAATTCCAGATGCGCTGATGGGCCAGCTTTAGGGAATTTATGCACAGCTTACCTCAAAACACAGGAAGCCAAAATCCCAGGAATGCTCCTGGTGCTGTTTTGGTTGTAACAGACACAGACATGTCAGCACAGGAAGACCAAGCTGGCAGAAGGGCTGGGTCTGAGGTATGAAACAAAATTCTCTGGCAGGGTTCATTTTTGTTTTTTCCTTAGGAAACAAGATCCTCACATTAAAAGGAGGATCAGTCACAGAAGGGGGATGAAAAGGCACTGTTGAAAACTTAATTACATCCCCAGATACATGTCCAGCCCTAGAAAGTTCTGAATGACACATTTCTAATGATGTTTTTAAATAACTACAGGGTATTAATTACACTAAAATCTACCAACCCTTTTCCCTGTGTCTGGAAAGCTTTGGAAGTGTTTTCCATTAGGCAATGCTTTTAAGCAGAGCCAGCTGCGCAGCACTCCTGCAGGTACCGAGGAGCTGTCTGTGTCGTGTGATGCCCATTACACACCCCAGTGCTGCCTGCACTCGCTGCAGGGAGGGCGCAGCAGGAAGGCACACATGCAGCAGTGCCTGGGGGAGCAACCACAGGGAAAGGCTGCCTCCATCCCAGTGCTTCCCTGCTACAATCCCCTCTCCCTTATCTGAATGGCCACACCACTGCAAGGTCAGCAAGAGCCGCGGTGACTGCATGGCCACAAAGCCACCGAGCTGGTGAACTCACTCCTGGCACTTCCTCACACGCAGGCAGGGCCAAGGAAGAGCATGGAGAGAATGTTGGAGGGACAGCCTGTCCTGCAGGAACCCCACTTGCCTCCATGGCCCCAAACATCTGGGCAGCGTCTCTGCTGTCAGCCCTGCGCTCAAGAAGGCCGTGACGGAGCAATCTGGCCTTGGCCTCGCCTCTCTCCCATCTCAGAGCTTCCATCCTGGTGGCAGGCAGCTCTGAGAGGCCAGAGCCACCTGCCCAGCCCCAGCCCACGAGTGTCACTGGCTCCAGGCACAGATGGGCTCTGAGTCTCCACTCCCCTAGCTGGGGAAAAATTGGTCACTTCTTTCCATAGTTTGTCCTCATGGGAAGTATTTTTAAGAGGTACACGGTCCACATTTAATCACAATAGTTAAGGAGATGGTCAATTAGTGCTTGCAAGCTTCTAAAACAGAGATGTTGCAGACTGAATCTGTTTTGCATCTAGAATTTGGGATAGTCAACCCCAGAACCCAGTGTGACAGAGGAAAGCTACTTGGAGGTGTCTGTCCTTCATCAGACTGGCTGTGGCAAAAAGAAACTCTCCAAAAATACAGTGCAACAGCATTTCTCACTGCCAAAATCCTGGGCAGAGTGATAAAACCTGGGGAGAGCAGGAAGGCCCTGAGGCACAGAGGGAATGGAGCAGTGCAGGACCTCACAGGGCAGGGAAAGAGAGAGCCAGGAGCATTGCAGGCAGTGCAGCCAGGTGACAGTGACAAGGGAGAGGACAGGCAGGACCTGAGTCCAAGCAAGGTGTTTTCTCCTCTGTGAAATGCCTGCCCGGGGGCATGGGAGCACAGGGGCAGCTCTGGCCATGCCCAGAATATCCCACAGCAGCTCCTTGCAGGAAAAAGTCTCACACGGCCAAGACTGGCAAATAAAGAACCTGCTGGCCTCTGCTGGCATGGGCACCACACAAACAGAGACCCTGCAGCCTGGCTGTCAGGCCCAGCCTCATGTGGCAGCTCTGCCACCCCAAAACTGCGGCTCAAGGGCGTGTCTCAATGCCAAACCCCAGACAGAGCAGGAATGATGAGCCCATTGCTCCCAGCAGGGCTCTTGGTGCTGTCTCCTCTGCACTCAGGGGACGCTAAGGCACAGAGCAAGTGACATGAGTGGTGCTCCATGGGTTTGGCACTGAGACAGGGGCTGTTTCTTGGGGGCAATGTCCCTCTTTGGCCTCCATCCTCATGGCTTGCCAGGACACCTCTCAGTGCACGCAGCACCCTCCCTGGGTGGGCTCATGGGCACAGACCCCTAAACCAGCACTGACAAAGCATTGGGGAGCTGTAAGCAGCACCAGACACCTTGTGCTTCACACACTCTCCTCCTCAGCACAGATGAGGACAGAGTGACACGCAATAAAAAATAAAAACCCTTCCCAGGGAGATGCAAAAATAATACTATGTACATTCCAGCTTCCCAAACAACAATCGCCTGAGAAGCCGGCACTGTGGGAAAGTCTCATTTCGCTTTTCCTGGGCATTATAAATAGAATCAAGGCTTCAAGCAGGGCTGGAAATGCGAAGGAAGGGGGAAAAGGCCATTTAATGGGCTCTGTTTGAACTTGGGCCCTGGCTGATGTCCAGCTTTCTGCAGAACATCTGGTCCTTTCCTGCCGAGCAAGGGGCAGCGCCACTGCACTGGGAACCAGGAAGCCCCAGCCCAGGGATGCTTGTCAGAACCCAGAGCCCCTGAGCCTACCGGGGCATCGCACCTCAGGCTGCTGCATGTGTCACTCAGGAGCTGCCTCTGCCATGCCCAGGTGTGAGAGCAGATGGGTCAGTGTGAGATTCTGTGGGACTCCAACCCTGGGGGCTGGGCTGGCATCCACAGGGACTCCAGAGCTTCTCTTCCAGAGGGCTGCTCAGTCCCTGACCCCATGGGAAGGCTCAGCACCCAGCAAGCTCTCTTGCAGGACTGAAGCCCACAAGTTCTTCCATCTGCCTATTCTCCAGGAGCCTCATCTTTGGCTCTATGACTTCTTTTTTCTCATGGATACATTCCTCACCAAAAGCCCCTGCAGAATCCTGTCATGGGCAGCTCCACATTCTGTTATCCATGTATTTATTCTTTACACTGGTCCCTACTTACCTGGATTATGGCTGGCTCCTACTTACTGTTGTATCTCAGGCCACATTTTATGCATCAGCAACGTACTTTAAGCAGGATATAGAATCATCATGTGAGGAGATGGTTTGGGTTGGAAGGGACCTTAAAGCCCATCTAGCTGCAATCCCTCTGCCATGGGCTGGGACACCTTCCACTATCCCAGGTTACTCCAAGCTCTGTTCAGCCTGGCCTGGGACACTTCCAAGGATGGGGCAGCCACAGCTCCTCTGGGCAACTTGGGTGCCAGGGCCTCCCCACCCTCACAGGGAGGAATCTCTTCGCAATCTCTTACCTCTGCACCAGTGGCTTCTTCTGTGTGTGGCTCCACTGTTCATTCCTCGGCCCTGTTCCCAACCTCTCCTCCCACCGCCTCTGCCCCTGTTCCTGCCTGGCCCTTGTCACTTCCCACAGCCCAGGCCGGCCTGGGGCTGCTGACACCTGGCACCTGCCCCACAGGGAGAACCGGGAGCCCGAGGAGGGCTGGAAACCTGAGGGGAGCACAGGGAACCCGTGGGGAGAACTGGGACCCAGGAGATAAACGGGAGCCCGAGAGGAGCCGGGAGCCCGAGGGGGAAACAGGGGCCTGAGGGGGAAACTGGGACCCTCGGGAGAACCAGACCATGAGGAGATCCGGGACCAAAGGGGAGATCCGGGACCCTGTGGATTACCAGGACCCCGTGGATAACCGGGAGCCCGTGGATAACCAAGAGCCTGTGGATAACCGGGAGCCTCTGGATAACCGGGACCCCGTGGATAACCGGGAGCCCGTGGATAACCGGGAGCCTGTGGATAACCGGGACCCCGTGTATAACCAGGAGCCTGTGGATAACCGGGAGCCTCTGGATAACCGGGACTCTGTGGATAACCGGGACCCCGCGGATAACCGGGAGCCCGTGAATAACCAGGACCCCGTGGATAACCGGGAGCCTGTGGATAACCAGGAGCCCCGTGAATAACCGGGAGCCCGTGGATAACCGGGACCCCGTGGATAACCGGGAGCCCCGTGAATAACCAGGACCCCGTGGATAACCGGGAGCCCCGTGAATAACCAGGACCCCGTGGATAACCGGGAGCCCCGTGAATAACCAGGACCCCGTGGATAACCGGGAGCCCGTGGATAACCAGGACCCTGTGGATAACCAGGAGCCCGTGGATAACCGGGACCCTGTGGATAACCGGGACCCTGTGGATAACCGGGACCCTGTGGATAACCGGGGGTCCCAGGCGCGCTCCCCTCAGGCGCGCTCCCCTCAGGCGCGCTCCCCTCAGCCCCTGCAGGGACGCGGCCGGCGCGCGCGCCCGCGCGGCTCGGTGACGTCACGGGCGCGAGGCGGGGGCGCGGCCGGGCGCGCGCCTTTGTTGGGGCGGCGGGTTCCCAGGCAGCCCGCGCGCCGCGGGGCGGGGCCGGGGGCGGGGCCGGGGGCGGGGCCGGGCGCGCGGCGCGGGGGGCGTGTCCGCGCGCGGGCCCGCGGGGTCAGTCGGAGCGCGGCGCCGAGCGGAGCGGAGCGGAGCGCAGCGCAGGAGGGGACAGCCGCGACACCGCCGGGACACCGCCGGGCACCAGCGCCAGCAGCGCCGTTACCGACCGCAGCCGCACCGCAGCGAGCGCACGATGATAAACACCCAGGACAGGTGCGCAGCGCGCTCCCCGCCCTCCCTCGCTCCTCAGCGCGGCGGCGGCGGGCGGGCCTGGGGCGCGGGCGGGCGCTGAGGCGGCGGGGAGGCCGCGGGACGTGGGGAGGCCGCTCCACCTTTTCCCGTTTAAAATCCCCATCAAGGCGTTTTTTCCCCCCTGGAGGAGCCCCCCGGGAGTGGGTCTGGGCTCGCCGGGGCCTGGGCACCTCTCGCTGAGCGGCCCTGGCCGCGGCGGGGTCCGAGCGCTCCCTCCCCGCGCCCCCCGCACTCTCTCTGCCTAGAAGGAGGTGGCTTTTCCAGGCGGCTTAGGTGTCAGCAGCCACGAACTTGCAGGATCTGTGTATTTTTCTCAGCTGACCGATTTATCTTGTATGTCTGTTCCTTGTTTGGAGTCCCCCGAGTGTCATTTCCTGCGCCTCTGTCGCCGATAAGAGCCCAGAGGATGCGTATGAAGCAGCCTCGGTTCTTGCCCTTTGCCTGTGTGGGAGTTGCTTGAGCTGTGCTGGGTTCATCAGATGGTTATTTACAATTTACTCCTCAAATCGGGCTCCTGGATATGTGTCTAACAATAATAGTAATAATAATTGTTGTTATTATTATAATATTATTCAAGTGTAGCTGGATCTCCAGAGCCTGTTTTGGGAAGGGGCAGAAAGGAAAACAAAAGAACAAACCAGTCCTTTCTCCAACATCAGGAGAGCTCTGCGGATCCTTCCATCTGGCCTAAGTGTTCAAAACAAATAACACCCCCAAAACACAAGGAAATGTGTCACTTTCAGCCCCTGATGTGCTGGTGATGGTCTCAGCCTGGCTCTGTGTGCCGGGGCTGCCTAGGAGCAGTGATGATGGGGTTCTGAAGTTGCTGAGCTGCCCTTTGCACTTCCCAGGGACAGGGCACGGGGTTGGGATCGCTGGGAGCTTAGCGAGTTAAAATTACACCCGCGGGATGAGAGCTTAACACTGACTTCCAGCTCCCCTTTCGGGCAGGGCACAGACCAGCAGCTTGTACTGAGGAGTTTCTCCATGGAAAGGCCTTGGTGATCTAAATGCATCTTAATTTCAACCAGGCTGCAGGAAAGCAGCTTCTCCAAGGAGGACAGACGTCAGAAGGGAGCACAAGCCTAACTTTAAGCTACAAACAGACCTCAGGGAGAGTTGCTGTTTGCGCAAGGATGGATGAAGGGATCAGATGTTGTTGGGTGTTTGCATGAATTTCTTCCCAGGGAGCTGAAGCACAGCTGGAGAAAGCAAAAGTCCTTTTAATTAATGCCCTACACACACTCTCTTCCCTGAAGGTGCTGCTCTCAGAACCCTAATCCTTGCGGGGGACAGTGGTGGTGTGCAGGGAGCCTGATTTTGGGGGCAGGATAGTGGAGGTGTGCAGATTTGGGCCAGAGATGTGCATGAGCAGCTGAAGGGGGCTGGTGTTTTGACTTCTGCATGTGCCAGAGGAAGTGAAACCGGGAAGTGTCTTTGGCTGCCTCTCTGTTTTAATTTTTTTTTTCCCACAACTCCACTTCATTATCCAGTTTCTCTATGCCTTGGCCGCAAGTTGGAAAGAGCTATCAATAGTACATTGTTGGCTGGAGGGTAGAGGGAGGAGGGAAGGGAATAACAAAGCTGCCAACAGCTTTCGGGGGTGGGGAGGCACAAAGTGCTTTGTCATCCTCTCGACATCCTCTACTACTGAACACACACTGGCCCATTGATAGCCCCAGGCACAGCAGGAGCACAGAACACCCTGCTTTGCCCCCAGACATCTCCTGGTGTATTTAAACTGCCTTTTCTCCTGCTCTAGCACATGGGAATGCTGTCCCAGCACCCCCGTCTAGCAAACGGAATATGTGGAGGAAGAATATTAGTGTTTCCTGTAGAAAGATGGTTTTGGTGGTAGGTGGTCTGCAGAGATCCATTCTGCCTTGTGCATTTGCAAGTTTTTGGCACTCAGAAATGCCAAACTACTTGTAGTAGTTTGTTTGTAACTGGCACAGGCAAGTGACAAGGCCAGGTTGGATGGGGTTTGGAGCAACCTGGTGTAGTGGAAGGTGTCCCTGCCTATGACAGGGGGTGGAACTGATGGGCTTTAAGGTCCCTCCCAGCCCAAACCAGTCTGATTCATTTTTCTAAGCATCTGAGGTGGTTCTGACAGTGCAGCTCTGTACTTGGTGTTTGGATACTTAAGCCTGTCTGCCTCGTGGACAGGGATTAGAGTGGAAAAACACTGCACTGGGAACCGCTTCAAGTGAGAAGTTTCAGGGCAGACGGTGGTTGTCAGAACAGCTGCAGAATTTATCCACTTCAGCCTCTCTCCCTGCTCATGGAAGCCCTCCCTGACGGTGTTGTTTTGGTGGTGCTTCCATAGCTTTGTGCTGCTGTGTTTCAGAATGGCAGCACTGGAGAAGGACTGTTTTTCCTACGTGGCTTTTGCAGGCTGTGCTAGAGGAACATCACTGGGCCTCAGCACAGAGCTTTTGTGGTGCTGAGAGAGGAAACAAGGCTCCAGAAGTCAAATAATTTGCTTTGATGAGCTTCCTAAAAGCCAGAGCCTGTGTCCAAAGCCATGTGTAGGATATCCAAATAAACTTGGAAACTGCAAGGGAAATGTGTTTTCTTGCTGTTCAAAGTAGCTCTGTGGGGTGAACTTGTAATTTTTAGAGTTGGGATGGAGGATGCTTGCATGGTGCTTCATGTGTGTGTGAAAATGTTGCGATGGACGTTGTGGAGTGTATTGAAGAACCAACCCTTTCATTTCTCCTGGGTTTGAAAATGTGAAACTTAAACCTTCTCCTCCTGGGCCCTGTTGATCTATTTGTAGATATTTGCCTCTAGAAAATGTGTGCTCATCTGGTCATGTGTTCCCAGCCATCTGCTCCTGGCAGCCTTCCAGGCCTCCCTTATTAGCATGAGGTTGCTCAGCACTCTCTGGGCTCCTGGCCCCTTGTCCATTCCCAACAAAACACTCTGGCTCTGGTGCCACTGGGGCAGTTCGATGGTGATATCTGGGTGCTGTGGAGGAGCAAGGATACAAATGATTTGGGGGTTTGAGAAGCTGGAACCTCCGAAATGTGACCCCTGCTAATGTAACACGGTGCTCTCTCTTTTTCTTGCAGTAGTATTTTACCTTTGAGTAACTGTCCCCAGCTTCAGTGCTGCAGGCACATCGTTCCAGGGCCTCTGTGGTGCTCCTGATGCCCCTCACCCACTGTCGAAGATCCCCGGTGGGCGAGGGGGTGGCAGGGATCCTTCTCTTTCAGCTCTGATATATAAGGTGAGATACATTTAACATCTAAACATTGACCTGTACCTGTGCTACAGCTGTGTTCATTTCCTTTCACAGTCTGATGGGAATAAATGCAAATAACTCCAAGATAATAAGTGGGAGAACAGGTAATTTTTCAGGGACTGAGCTGCAGACAGGTCTCTGCTGCTTAAATATCACCTGTTTATTAAGAAATGAGAGACCATTGTGCAGCAGATCATTCACTAGCCTGTCCCCAGGGGCCTGCTGCAGCTATTGTACGTGGAGCCTGCATTATCAAAACCTGAAAGGGCTTCTGAAATGCCTGGCAGAGAAAGGAAGTGAGAAGCAGAAAGGTGAAATGCAGCAAGGGAGGGCTTGATAAGCTCCTTCCTGCACCCTGGTCCGGAAGGTGAAGCTGTCAGGGCCTGGGAGCTGCCTGAACCGAGGTGCAGGTGGGAGAAGCGGCTCCCAGACACGGCTGTTTCTAGAACATGAGCACAGACAGGGCAAGATCAGGAATGGTTTGTGTCTGCAGGCTTGCAGCTGTCTCCTTTTGTGCTCCTCTTTGTTCCATGGGACCTTTCCTTTAGAATGAGGAGACCTGGCTGCTCCTTCCTCTAGAGTAATTTGTGTGATTTGGCTCACATCTGTCTCCTTTCTGGGACAAGGGCTGCTTTTCCATTTAGGTGAGGCAGACTGAGTTTATGCTGACCTTGCAAATCTGGCTGTTGAGCCAGGGGTGTTGTCATAGGTGTCAGACCTGATTTTTAATTAACCTGTGGGTGGCACACAGACGTCACCTGATGAAAAGATACAGACCCTTTCAGGCCACAGCTCCCAGAGTCTCCTCCTGGAGTTCCTGAGAGAATCACAGACCTCATGGTTGCTTTCAGAGTTTCCTTTGGTGAGTTTTCAGCACTTTCCTCACCTGCTTCCCTTGCAAAATGCCAGCCTCTGAGCCTCCAGTGACAAGGTCCCATCAGTTTAATGCTCGAGGTGAATTGTAACAGATGTTTGGGGGGTACAAACTCCAGAGAAGCAGCTGCATAATGGGCTTCCTGTCACAGAAAGAAGATAGAAAAATAGCTTCAAGAGGGCCTAGGACAAGTAATGAATCCCCTCTGGGTGGGAAATGGGACCCTGCAGCTATAACTCCTGCCAGCCAGCTTTGCCAAGCCTTGTGTGTGCACCAGGCAAGGCCCAGAGGTAGAAAACGGGCTCAGCATGGAGGAGGAAGGTGGAAGGAATAATGATTTAGAGACTTTGGAGTGTTTGATTCCAGTACAGCCCTAAACTTGCACAGATTTTGGCAGTGGTGTGTGGGCAGGGGGATGTCATCCAGATAACTGCATCCCAGAAATATGGATGGAATTCCTCCTGGATTTATTGCTTGACAAAACTAGCAGGATCTGTCAGAAAATCAACCCCTTCTGTAACAGAGAATTATGGAATAGTTTGGGTTGGAAAAACCCTCTTAAGTTCATTGAGTCCAACTGTTCCATCAGCACTGCCCATGTTCACCACTAGCCCATGTCCCCAAGTGCCAAATCCACAGGGCTTTTGAACCCCTCCAGTGATGGTGATTCCACTTCTCTGGGCAGCCTCTGCCAGGGCTGGATAGTCCTTTCAGAGAAAACATTTTCCCTAATATCCAGCCTGCTCTGGCCTGGAAATGGTTGAGATAATTTCCTCTCATCCCATTCCTTGTTCCCTGGGAACAGAGCACAACTCCCACCTGGCTGCACCCTCCTGTCAAGGAGTTGTAGAGAGCAAGAAGGTCCCCCATGAACCTTCTTTCCTCCAGACTGAGCCCACCCAGCTGCTCCTGGGCAGACTTGTGCTCCAGGCGCTTCCCCAGCTCTGTTCCCTTCTCTGGGCATGCTCCAGCCCCTCAATGTCTGTCATGGAATGAGGGGCCCAGAACTGATCCCAGGATTTGAGGTGTGTCAGACCTCGGAGCGGTGACAGGGTTCTGTCTGCCCTCTCGGTGACCTGCTCGGTCTGGCAGTACTGTAGTTACAGCAGCTGAGCTTTTCAGCCAGCAGCCACCAGCATGACCTGGAAAGGCATCTGGAGCTGAAAGTTTAAGTCCTTTTTCCAGCTGTGTCAGCTGTTCCAGTCCAAGGGATGACCTTTCCCAACACACCTACCTCTGCTGGTGCATGCAGCACTCAGATACACCGCTGCCATAAACTGGGGCTTCCTGTAACTGTTGGGATTTTTGTGTTAAGAGACTTTAAGCTCAGCCCTCCATCCAGGGAGCTTTGCTGGAGCTGGGAATGCCACAGTGACTGGTGTGGGTGCTGCCAGCTGAGATGTGCCCTGGCTGGCAGAGTTGGCAGGAGGCTGCAGGTGTAGCACCTGGCAGCAGTGGGTGCTTCCACAGCTTTCTCCAGCCACTTGTCCAGGGTGGATCATAACATCCTTCCTTCTGACCCTGCCAACATACCAAGGCCTCCCCCCATCCTTCCTGGGACATCTGAGGAGCAGAGCAGGGCTGGAAAATCTTGTGTTCAGTGAATTGGAACCAAGTGGAAGTTGGTCTTTGCAGCTTTGTGGTGCTGAAATGGAGCTGGAGTGCTGGGGAGCCAGGGTTTGGGCAGCTGGGTAAAATTCAGTCTGGTGGCAGGGGGTTTTGACCACAGGAACATGGCAGGGGGATTTTGTGTGGGGATTTTTCCAGGGTGAACTAGAACCCAATGCTTGTTGTGTAAATAAGATTTTGCTTTGAGCAGCTTCCAAAGAATTTTGGGCTGTTGTTGCTGCTTCACAGCAGCAGCTCACAGAGCCTTTCTCTTCCCCGACATCTCTGTTTGGATACCTAGAAATAAAGTGTCAGCTGCCCCAGCCAGGCTGTGTAAACGTAATTCCCACTGAACCGGGGGAACTGGTTTTGCTAATCCCTGTGGTCGTGCTGCCTTTGGCTCCTGGGCTGTCACAGGGGGGTTTCAGTGGAGCAATCTCACTGGACATAATTTCTGGTGACAAGGAAGTTCTCAATCGAATGGCTTAGAATGCTTTTCCCTTCCTATGGCAGTGCCAGTCTTCCCACTCAAAGGCACACCTCCCATGTGTCAATCCCAGCCTGCTTTCCTTCCCTTCCTCACCTAGTTTTAGTTCTGTGAGCATGGGAAAAGCATGATCTGTGAGCTTTTCTGGAGAGAAGGATGTTTTCTGGAATAGAAACACTTTTCTGCACTGAAACAACTATAAAGTGTCCTGTAAATTCACTGCTGAAGGAAATGCATATAAGCCCCTTGGATTTGTTTTTTGTAAGAACCTCTGTGTTCAGCCCTGCCTCTCTCTGCTGGCTCCATCACAGCCACAGCTTGACCTCACTGGAACAGTTCTCAGTGCATTTCTTGGTGTGCTCAGCCACTCATACTTCCTTCAAACTCAATGAATAAACTTGTTTCCTACAGGATATTTATTCTGGTGAAGTGTAAACTTGTTTTTCAGCTCAGCTTTGTGAGCTTTCAATGAAAGGCAACTTCCTCTGCTCAGCTTTCAGAGGCCAAGCAGCTCCCACTTTGCACATGGTATTACTTTGTCACCAATGTGAATGTCCTCAGAGGCTTCTCTGTCATACAGTAGTCAAACCAAGGGGCATCTATTTTAAGACAAGAGGTAATGGGAATTAAAGCACTGGGACAGTGGCTTGAGGTGCTTGTAAGGAGCTGCTGAATTAATCACTGTTAAAATAAAATATCTGGAGGCTGGACAGCGCTCACCCAATGACCCAGAGGAGTGAACCACTGCCCACCCACCTGCTGAGGAGGGAGGGACACGTGGCTCTCCAGGTGCTCTCATGACTGTGGGTCTCTGCTTTACTGCTGCCCTCAAAGCTATGCAGGTGCCAGTGAACGTGAGGGACAGGGACACACGAGCTGTCACCAAGCACAGGGGACAGCTCAG